TTGACAACATACAGGTCAAGGTAGGCCTATATCACCCCGATAATCGCATCGTGTGACATAAAATTTGTCAAGCTTAGTGATACAGCCATGCTTGTTTGCATTGATCTCAATCTATCCTTTGTGTACCAGTAGAAAGAAATAATTGTAATGATCATTGTATTAAATAATTTAAAGTTAATTAATTTGTAGTTATAATGGATTAAATGTAGCTTATACCTTTTACTAATGAATGGTCACATGAGCGTTAAATATCACGTCAAATATCACGTGTCGTGTAACAGTATATAATCATATGAGTAAATAGTGACAGAGAAAATAAGTTGAATGAATAACACTTCTGTATTAGTAACTAGTGTAATACTTTCTGTGCATTAGTTATGTTTCTTTTTGTATCATTTTTAGCACCATGGAAACCTGCAATCATGTCCTAATGTTCAAATAATATATACACATGTAATTATAACATATGTGTATCCAGAATTTTTTTTTTTAAATTCAGGTATGTACAACTTAGAAAAAGTGCCATATGCGAGTACCAAGTTGCGAGTCGCAAGTAGCAAAATATGCCATATGCTAGTGGTAAAAACGACATATGTGAGTGTAAAATGTATCATTTGCTAGAAGCAAAACAGCCCTATGCGAGGGGTAATACAAAGGCCAGGAAAACTGGTGTATATGAGGGGTGGAGTCATTTGCCAGTTTGCTCAACGGCTGGATTCGTTTGCTTATAATATAATAACGTACGTTCAAATGTGTTTTAACACAGTAAAATCAAATATTTATCATGGTTATGAAATGATGTGTACATGGTTGGTTAAGATTGGCATGATGCTGTTGAGGCATTTACTTTAGGGGTGATTCATATATAAAAATAATGGTAGCAAATAGGTGTCAACGCGATCTATCCTAGCCGCCGCCCGGTACTCAACATTACAGTCGACCAGGGTACGCGGGTTACATTGCGAATGTCACAAATAAAAGCAGCTTTAACTATTATTTCCAGTGCTTTTTGTTTATTATTCATTTAAGTGTTTATATCAAAAAGTTTGTTCAGTCGTTTGCATAGAATTGATGTTTGCTCTTCACACACTGCACAGGAAACGTGACAGCACAATCATTTAATAAACGGCCATGACCAGCCAGCACACTCCACATAACATGTGAAAATTGTTTAATTTTTTGTTTGTTTTTTTCTTTTGGTAAAATTAGTATGAACCCGTGGTCTGCAATTAAAGAATCGTAGAATTATAACTGTTATTAGTGAAAACAGGTGTTCACAGAAGGGTCACAGAATTCTTCTGTCACGCGCCGCCGGTTAATTGAAGACAATGGCAGCACGGTTATTAAACGAGAAATTAACATCATGTTATTTCCAATCAACAAAACAGCGATGTCTTGTCTGGGACAAAATGGCTTTGAAACCAGCCATTGTTTTTATTGGCTCGCGTGTGAGTTCCTGTTCATCGAGTCTACTTGTACTGATGATAACTGTACTTCTATGATTATTTCAACGCTAACATGTCCATTCTTATTTTAACGAAACATAAAACTTTTTCTACTTGTACAAGTAAAGTGGTTAGGTTGAAGTGTTTAGGGCATTGAGGCTAAGTCTTTTTCTAGCATTTTCCCGTAAAAATTGTCTCTCTATCCCTTGTCTCTATCCTGATCAAGCAGCGACAGACGCTTCTTTGTTTCAATTCAAATTTGATCCGGGTTTCGTGTAAATATATTCCATGTGTGAGGGACGTCTCGTAAACATGAGGACTTATCACTCAACATTCACTTTATTTTTTCATGTATACTATCAATTCGTGTCGATGTATTATTATGAAATTGTGTGCTTGTTAACACTTGGGTAGTGGCAAATTTAACACCTCTCCGAGGTGTGACAACTTTTGAAACCTGCCATTGTCTTCAATTAACCGGCGACGCGTGACACAAGAATTCTGTGACCCTTCTGTGAACACCTGTTTTTAGCTCCGCTGTCGACATTGTCGAGCAGAGCTTATCATATGAGTAGTTGTCGATCGTCGTCCGGCGTCCGTGTCAATGTTTTACTTTTTTCGACTTCTTCTTGAAAACTACAAGTCTGAATGCTTTGATACTTGGTGTATATGTACCTTGGGTAGACCTCTCTCAGATTTGTTCATTTCATGATCATATCTTCAATTCTCTAATTTTGGTGAATATTTTTGTCATTTTTGGTAAAAAGTGATATTTTCGACTTCTTGTTAAAAACCGCAAGTCCAATTGCTTTGATATTACATATATAGGTACTACATGTGGACCACTGTCAAATTAGTTCATTTTGTAATGATATCGTCAATTCTCTAATTTTGGTGAATATTTTTGTCATTTTTAGTAAAAAGTGATATTTTCGACTTCTTGTTAAAAACGACAAGTCCAATTGCTTTGATATTATTACATATATAGGTACTACATGTGGACCTCTCTCATATTTGTTCATTTTGTAATGATATCTTTAATTATCTAATTTTGGTGAATATTTTTGTCATTTTTGGTAAAAAGTGATATTTTCTTCTTGTTGGTTGGTTGGTTTTACCACGATCATTTATGGTGAAAAATGATATTTTTGAATTCTTGTTGAAAACAGCAAGTCCCATTGCATTGATACTATGCATATTGTTCATTTTCTAATGATATCTTCTGTTCTTTAATTGAAATGTGCATTGCTAACAGCGGAGCTATCTCAGCCGAGAAGCTGCTTGTTACTATAAACTACAATTATAATTCTATGATTCTTTAATCGCAGACAACGAGTTCATACTAATTTTATCGAAAGAAAAAACAATTTTTACATGTTACGAACTTTTTGATATAAACACTTATAATAAATGAATAATAAACAAAAAGCAGTGGAAATAGTAGTTAAAGCTGCTTTTATTTGTGACCTTCACAATGTAATCCGCGTACACTGGTCGACTGTAATGTTGAGTACTGGGTTGGGTGCGCTGGTTGACTCCTAGGCTAGATCACGCTGACACCTATATGCTACCATTATTTTTATATATGAATCACCCCTAAAGTAAAAATGCCAATCTTAACCAACCATGTACACATCATTTCATAACCATAGTAAATATTTGATTTTACTGTGTTAAAACACATTTGAACGTACGTTATTATATTATAAGCAAACGAATCCAGCCGTTGAGCAAACTGGCAAATGACTCCACCCCTCATATACACCAGTTTTCCTGGCCTTTGTATTACCCCTCGCATAGGGCTTTTTTTGCTACTAGCAAATGATACATATTACCACTCGCATATGCCGTTTTTACCACTAGCATATGGCATATTTTGCTATTTGCGACTCGCAACTTGGTACTCGCATATGGCACTTTTTCTAGGTCGTACATACCTCAAAAATCAGATATTTTACAATTGCCGATTGGTCTAATATTTACCACTGAAAAATAAAAATTAAAATATTGGCCAATATTGGGTTCAATTTCTAACAGAAAGAAATTTGAATTTGTGTGCACTGTTTTCCTTGCAAATGTTGAAAATTATAAATTTTTGAAATTGCAACGAATTTTCTAAAACCAATTTTACTTCAATCACGCTGCAACATGTTTGGCAGGTCTCATTAGAAAGGAGGGGTGAAGTCATGAGATAGAGATGTCATTTGACCTGTGATGTAGGGCAAGGCCAATTTTTTCACCATGCTTCACTGTTTTGCTCAAGACAGCAGCTTCAGATATTTAAAGTTTACTGTTATTCCTCTATGATTATTTTCATGTACTACTGCTCAGCGTGCATACATACACAGCAACTATAATGTTTGTGATTACATGACAGGGTAATGAAATAGACTGTACAGCAAGCTAAATCCTAAATCAACTATACCCGAAACATCACTTGTGCTTGCAAACATTTATCAAGGTTTTCCTAAAGTTGTCATTTTCGCCAATGAATCTCGGCTTTGGCCTCACATACAGTTTGTTGCATACACACCAAAGCATGAATTGGTCTCTTATTTTTGTTGATATTGAATTCCAGGTAGAGTTTGCACCTGAACCTATAGATCAGGAGTGCGAATATGTGAGCCATAATGTCAGTGCTATTAAAAAGTGTTCAAAAGGTTTCTTCAGTCATTTCATTTATTTTCATCAATAATTTTCAATAATTCGTGTCTAACTTATATATATCCAAAGTTACTAATATGAGACATATTTTGGCTGATTACAGGTACATTTGTACTCTGCAAAATTTAGACACATGTAAATGACTGCTAAAATTTAGCTAAAGTAATATTAAAGTTATGATTGAACTGCACAGTACATTGTATCTCCAACTTAGAAGAAGTTTAATCCTCACACACACACAAGTCATATAACTAGTCAGAGAAAAGCTTTGTCAGTGCTTAGAAGTGTACAATGTAATTTGTTGCTTGCTAAAACATCATAAAAGCATTCATTTAGAAGGAGTAGTCATATGGTTATTGATACGTCGTGATTGAATGAGTGGTTTCTCTTGATATATGTTGATATTACCCAGTGCGACATGCATTTACTTGGATTTTTGTGAACCCTGACCACTGCTAGCAGAGAAAATTGTTTTTTTCATTCTATGCTCTTGCCAGTGTGATTTAAAGTTATCACAAGGTTCCATAGTGAGCGAAACGATATGCCTTGGAGGATAAAAAACCCTGTATTGCGATCGCCAGGAGCCTTATTAATCCACTGACGTTTGTATAACTGTGTAGGAAGACATTCTCCTCAGAGAGGCATAAATACTGTAGCGTTTCAGACGTTCAACATTATCTGTCGAGTTTCAAGTCACATGTGCCTAATTACTGTACTAACCTGCTAAGGTATTGTGTCTGAGGAAGATGTATTATATTGGCAAAGGGTGATAAGTAGGGTCAGAGGTCAAATTTCCCTCTAATTCGTCTCTGTCAGCAGCGTCCTCCATACATTCAAATGGGCAACTATCAGGGTCTCCATATAAACAGTTCTGAAAGCTGTGTGTCGAGAATGGCTTACTATCCCTATACCTCTCTGTCTTTACTTGCAGGCTCTGCGGGTACTATGTTGGACAACATTGACCTGCCGATGAAATGCCGAGTGTGCAGGGACAAAGCGTCTGGCTTTCACTATGGTGTGCACGCCTGCGAAGGATGTAAGGTAGGTTTTATACTCTCATATCACTTGATTCGCTTGTGCTCAGAATGTACCAAGTTTACAACCTGAATGTTATCAGTGAGTGTTGTTTTAAATATTATTGGATATGCACTTGTCGTCCTGATGCATAAACACTTGATGTACATTACTGCGTACATTTCAGTGCATATTTCAAAGTATATTTCATGTAGTTTATCATGTCTGCAAACACAATTATCAATATTTCAAAGCTGGCATTGTCTACTTTGCACTTAGTATTTGCTTTGGGTATGTAAAAGGCATATAGATAACTAGCTTTACTGTAGGTTCAAGTATTTATTCGTTCTTTACTGGTATATTGTAGCCTAATAAACCATAGATGTGTACACAGCGTATGTTTAACATTCTTACCAGTAGTCGTTTAGATAGTTTATTTACTTCATGTAGTATGTATATAATCATGTTTACATTTTGCTACAACTCCCGACAAACAGCGACAGAATTATGTTGTTACAACTCCCGACAAACAGCGACAGAAATATGTTGTTACAACTCCGTACAAACAGCGACAGAATTATGTTGTTACAATTCCGTAAAAACAACGACAGAAATATGTTGTTACAACTCCGTACAAACAACGACAGAAATATGTTGTTAGAACTGCGTACAAACACTGACAGTAATCTGTCGTTGTTACAACTTCCTGCAACCACTGATAGAAATCTGTTGTTGTCTTTACTAAATATATGGATTACGGTTATCAGTTAGTTATCGTTTCTATATTTGACTTTATTTTATATGAATTTGAAATAAAAATGTTTCTTTGATCTAGCAATGAAAAAGTACCGCAGGGTTATCCGGATAAGATGGAAGTTTATTTTGGCATACACTGTATATACATGCATATATTTAAATGAACTGTCAAGTTACGTAACAAAAGATGACACATTTAAAACTTTATTAAATATAAATACATAACTCTAAACAATCTGAATATTAAATATTCTCATTCAAATTGGGACAATTGATTTTTGACTTTGGCGCATGGAAGTACATTGTAGCTATTCTCTTTGATAATAAAAAAAGCCAGCACCCAAGTTTTCTAACAGTATTTTTCCATTTGAAATTTGTATCCACTCAAATTGCGTATACGTACTATCAATTAATGTTATTATCTCATCCCATTGAGGATTAAACGATTATCCTCTTTGTGATGCTTATAATATTATCATCATGTGAACTTAAGGTAGCAACAAGGGAAAAACGAGTTAAAAATTGCTCAGTAATTCTCTAAAAATCACTAAGCATTCTACCATAACAACCTATGCATCGTCAGGCATCGTGTTTCTAGTTATTTGCTCGTAGCTGTAAAACATAGGCTGATAGATAACGTGATTGTATAGCGTATAGTTTTATGAACATCCTGTGCTTTTCACACGTCATTCACATGACTGAAAGTGTTAATTTAAAAATCTGTGTTTTCATTTTCATCAGAATAGTAAAATTAAGCATCGTGTAATGCTTTAGACAAACATCGTTACGGCATATGCACTACAATATTTTAAGCTTTCAGAAAATGTATAGGTTATTATAGTAGCAAACCTGGAAACTTGTAGAGAATTATAGATCAATTTTTAACTCGTTTTTCCCCTGCTGCTACCCTAACCTTGTATTATCTGGGTCAGTGTCTTTTCCTGACCCTATAGCAACAATATGCCACCCCCAAAATTGACTTTAGTAAAGTTTTAAATTTAAGGGCAATCCATTATGACGAAATGTTCGGAAATCACTGCGCCACCTTAATTTTTTGAACGTCATAATTTTTGCTGCTGGCAATTTGGTAGACTGTTTTTAATCCCTGTTCAGATGACACCCAAAAAACAAAGGCTTATGTTTTGACTTCTGTCTGTTGGTGCATCGCACCTGTATCTGAGCTATGTCTGGACCAATCAAATTCATGCTTTGCATCATGCATCTTGACATCATGCACATCCATTTGTTTCGTGATCCAATTCAAAATGGTGGCAATTTTTGTACTGAAATATCATCAAAATCAAATGGTGGTCATTTTACCACAATGTTAAAAGTGTCATCAAAACCTGCAATTCCAAATTTAGATCAAACTTGGTATGTACACTGAACGCTATGGGTGCTTGATGCATGTCATTTTGTTAGATCATATGCAAAATGGTCTGAAAAATTTGATAAAATTTAGGGTAGGGAGGCGACCTTTTTCGGTGTTCAGCCTGAGGTAGGATTTGAACTCAAGTCTACCGATCATGAGTCTGATGCAGTGATTACCACCCTACCAATGACCAATAATTGAGTTGCAGTACTGAATGTACAACATCAATGTGAACTACCGTACCTGGAATATTTTTCGCATGCAATTAAATATGCTTGTGAAGGAAGGCAGCCTATCATATTTGGACCTATGCCATAAAAAGATAATTTAAAAACAAACATAGTCTGTTCAAGGTTGGTGTGTTTACCTCCCGCTCTGATAAATTGCCTGGAAAGTCCACTGGGCAAGTTTGCATTACACTTTGCTGCTGCTTTAAGTAGCTTTATCAAGTAGGCTGTGAAATGTTGATGAGCTGCTAGCTGCCGTAATTTGTAATAACAGGAAGATTTCTCTTCTCTAGCTTAATATTGTCATTGAAAAACACAATGTCTATTTGCTGTTTAAAACTCATTGCCGTTAATGGTGCAGAATGCTATCGATCATATATTTGAGTGACAGTGATCATCCCTGTATTAAACTTTAACTTTTTGAGTGCCAGATATTTTTTTTCGATCCAAAATTCAGTGCAAATATTTTCACATTTTGTAAAGTTGTGACTAAATTTCATCATAAATTTGGACCATACAGACAGTGTCAAATATTTAATAAATTGAACGGGGACTGTGTCATTTTCAATGATTACCAATTTCTCATTTGAGGCAGAGCAGACTGTACACAAAATAATTCTAAAAAAAAAATTGGTGGTGCCAAAAGTTGACAATGGCACTCAAAGTTAGTGCCTTTTGGAATTTTATTTGAAGCTACTAAAAATGATAACTTTACATTGCTTGCTCTAATAGCATCCATCAATTGTCTAAAATGAATGAAATAAAAACAGTCTTTGAAGAGTAGGTGATGTCTATAAATTTGTAATAGTATAATTGCAACAGAGTGCACATGATACTCTTTCTCAACTCAACAGTTGTATTGTATCATTTGAATTGCCGTGATCATCTCATCTAAAATAAAATATGTTGTCCCAGAAACATGCATGGGTACAATTTTTGCAGATTACTTTAATATAACCCCCTAACTTGCTGTTTATTTGAAAGGTACTGTAAAATCTGTATTAGAAGCCGTGGCTTCTATTAAAATGTTACAATGCAACAGAGGGGATGCAGCTTCTATTCGAGCATCTACACATATGAGAAATGATGAATTTTTGGTTCTCAATTATACAAAAAGAATGGGTGTGACTTCTATTAGGGATATGGCTTCTAATACAGATTTTACGGTACATGCCATCATTGCCTGATATTCTCTGTAAGTTTAATTAACCTACAAAAAAAATCAAGTGAACATGCCCACCGTAGTACACATGCTATGGTATATGGTCAAATAGTGGTTATTACTCTGTACTGTCATACATAATTTGTCCCTCTTTGTTACTGTCTGTAAGTAACCAGCTGTTCCATTCTCAACTTATTGAAAGCTGTATATACCAGATTGCTTTTATATTTATCCTACCGGTAAATTGGGTGGAACTTTTTCTGATTCATTCATTTCTGAATTTAAATTTTTGCAAAATCTTTGGTAAATTTTTATTAAAATATACAATATTTATAATATAATATATATTTTTTCAACAAATGCATTTTTGCAAATTTTTCAATACTTATGACATTATAATTAATCTGTTCATGGATTGATTTTCCAAAAAATGTATGATGACAATTTGTTTTCCTTCTTTTTTGATAACTTCGTTGGATCTGCTGCTATATCATTAGCAAGGCTGTTTGTTGGTGGTCCCTTCCAAAACTGAATGCAGTTCAGTCTAGTTTTTCATTTCGTTATCTGTATTGTTTATTGATAACTTGAATGGAAACCGACAGACCAAAGTTCCTTATAGGAATTTTCTATTATCTTAGTTGCATACCTACGTTTTAAGTTCATTCTCTGTCTTGTTTTGTTTTTATTGTTAGAAGAGACTGTCAGTTTTGTGTCATTTCTCCTGTATTTAATAACATAAATTGAGAGTGAGACTAAAATATTTCACTTGAACATATAAAGCCTTGTTCAAAAGGAACGGAAGGCTAGATCGTTTTGTAAATATTTCTTATCAGTGAGCTAAGCCTGCGTTCTGTTCATACATCGCAATGGTATGTAATTATATTACTGTGTTCACACCTTTTTACATCCAATTCACATACTTGTGTATTGGGTTGTCTCAAGAGTGCACGCAGTTCAACCCCAAGACTTTGTTTACATGTGTCTCATCTCAGAGTTAAACATGCGATTCAGGGTCGAGACCAGTCCTCTGAGTCCCAACTAAACAAGCCGAGGTCAACACTGGGTTAATCTGTTCACACGTTAATTTTTCAACAGTGGGTAAAATTTACTCTTGGTCGAACCTTGCATTCTGCTACATGTACATGTGTGAACACCAAATATGTATATTAGTGTTTTCCACCAGTGGGATGACAAGATTTAATCATGACCAGGACACCTGTATAGCTTTAATATTCCTAGCAGGGAGAGATTTAGTATGATCAAAGTACTCAATCCCCAGACAAACATCTGATATTTGACATGGTTTTACTGCTGTTGATTGGGCCGGAGTCATGGTTGATTAAAAATGTCAAATTCCCTATAGTCGCTCCCCTCTCTATGGAAAACACTGATGCATGCACTGACAATATTTATTATTACACATGGAGGTTCTCCACTATCAGTATATAGTGCAGCTATCATTATGTTGTTTAACTATTCATGGTAGATTATATTCTTCGGAACAACTGCGATTATTTTTATGATTTGATAACAGTTTACGTAAATTCTCTGAGCTGGAGAAAATCCCACTGGTGAAAATAATAGAGCAAATACAGTATTCATTTGTTGTTGATGTTTTATAAATTTCCTGTTATCACGCACCAGGCATTATAAGGAGCCCCCCTTGGTAAATTGACCCACTGTATCGTGAAGATTAAATGGTGTCAAGTTAACCTTTTGTACAGGACACGCAGAGTGAGTGACCTGCTTTTCAGCGTTTCAGTAAAGTTAGAAGTTTTTGCATTTTATGATTTTTTTAATTTTTTGATTTTCAACATTTATTAATATGAGACTTTAATCATATGTCATACTGTGGATAATAAATTGAAAAATGGCCACTAGTCAGCCATATTACACAATTCCAAAGTTATTTTTTGCCATCATTCATAAAATATAATCCTCTCCATTGTTTTCATATTTTTCCCAACAAATTTTGATCATGTCAAAATTATTATGCCCATTAATTTGATTAATAATTATCCCAAACTTATGGGATATTAAGAGTACAATTTTTGCACCCAATTTTCGGTGGGAAAAATTGTGGTGTTTAAAAAGTTAGTGCAATCTTTTTTTGATATACCAAAATCTACAGCTAAATACATGTACATTGTCAACTTGTTGACTGTCTGCTATGTGTGTCTGGAGATCTGTATCTGATTTAAACTGAATAGATCAAACCATTTTTATGAGGGCAGCGCTTCGTAACACTGTCTAGTTTGATATGAACCATGCAAAATTGTTTGTAACAGGAAACAATGATTATTTTTTTTAAATTTAGTGATCATATATACAATCTTAAGTTGTATATATTATATGGTTTTTTTTTTGATAATGTCCACCACGTTCGGCCTAGTGCAATAAGCGCAAGTTAGTGCATACATTGTTATACAATTGTTGATAATTATGGCATTGAAATATATAACTATAACAGTCCTACAGAATGCTATTACAGAATCAATAAAATCACCTTCTTAATGATCATGTTCAACCACTTCTCTGAAACTATTCGTGCTTCTCTCTTTCATAATAACAATGATCTACAAATAGAACAGCTTAGTGGTCAAGGAGCATTCTTAATAAAAAAAATCACAGAAAATAGAATGTATTGATTGAAGTCAGTGAATTATGAAAGCAGACGAGACCAACATGTAGCAAGTCGATTTAAGGTCTACCAGTAAAGCGATAAAAACATGATTTATTACTACTTTAAATCCCATAGGCTGTAAACATAAAAGATGAAAGCAATGTGCCACCCCCTTTCTTTGTACAGCATCTATTCAACTTTATGAGTATGCATATCTCTGAAGACTGCAGCATGCGCCTTAGCTGTGTGTGTGGGATACTCTGCGGTGGCTATAAAAATGATAAATAATTTGATTGAATTTGAGGACGTGTGTCTGTGTATTTATTATTTTTCAAGTGTCTGTCATGTGTTTATCTTTTGTTTTGTAATATATACATGAAACACCATGGTATGCGGTGAGATCAGTTGCAAAAATTAATAATTCTTTTATTATTTGGCCATGTTTATATTATTTATGTTTAAGTTTAACTCAAGAATTTTAATAAGTACTTCTGTAAATCGTGACGTCGCTAAAAAGAATGTCAAACTTATGTGCAGAAAGATCAAATCACTTCAAAGTTAGGGAAAAGAAGAAAGAGACATATAGTCTCTTAATAAGTACATCTCCCAAACCAACCACTAGAGGGCATTTGGATAGCAGCGTATACTATACTAGTATGATAGTGTATCTTGTGATGTCATTATAAAAAGGATACAAAACTTCTAGGTAGACTTACACTTAGTGCTAAGGTAACCGTGCATTTATCAAGAACTCTGCAAGTAAATAGTGTTCCAGGGCTGTTTATTTAAATAAAATTCTCAAATATTCTATTCTGAAACTCTTTAATATGTTACATACAGTTGTATAATAATATGAGTTTATTACAAGAATACAACAAAATATGCACGAATGCAGTCGGCAATCTTATTGATCTGCACCTAGCAAAGGTGTCCCCGGTTTGCCTGTGTGCAAACTTTGCGGTATTCTCATGATAACATATATCTGTTTCTTGCTTGTAGTAATAATTTAATGTGAAATGGCAAATGTAAAACTGTGTTGTGCGAACATTTGCATTCAGTGACAGGGTTCTAGTTCTACGCTATAGAGTACATCCAGTATCAACAAAAGCAAGTGTTCGAATGTGAGGTAAAAGTGATGCACACAGTCGAAAGAAAGATATTCGAACACGTCTGTAACACTTCCAAACATGTTCGTACGGCATTTTATTATAAACGTTTGGTTTCATGTATGTGTGTGGACCTTATCCCACACCGGGACATAAGGCTGCAATCAGGTTCTTTCATTTCTGTCTATCCTTGGCCACCATCTTTGCTCTACTCTAGGTCAGGTTTGCTTGGGCAAGTTTTGTGGTAATGGTTTCTCACTATGTTGTTTTTTGTCTCCCTCTGTTTCGTTTACCCTGAGGCGTCCAGCAAAGTGATGTTTTGGGGATTGAGTCTTGTGGTATTCATGTATGTACTGGCCTTTCATTAATCGAACATAGTCGCTATTTCTGTGTTCATGTGGTTGAATTCTTTCTGTATGTCTACAAAAAGTTAGACAAATACAATCCAATGATAATGTAAATATTATCTATTATCGATGATTGATGATGATCATACTGATATGTAGATTGCAGGATAATGTGTATTGAAAACCAATTAAAGCATAATAAATGTGCGTACTTGCTCCGTGAATGATATCATAACTCAATGTGAAATCAACATCAGACGATAGCTCTAATCAGCCGAATATTTTCACTGCTGTTTGCGCTGAGATAATACTACAATAAGTTACTACTATGTAGAGTCTAGTTTTACTCCTACCATTACTACCATTACTACATGGTTTGTTTTAGGTTAACATCTTGATTTCAGATTTCACATCTTCATGTTCGTTTTTCTGTCTTTCAGGGATTTTTTCGGCGCACCCACCGGATGAAATTGGTGTACAAACCTTGCCCGTATGTCAAAACAGAACCGTGCAAGATTAATGTATCGACTCGAAATAAGTGCCAGTACTGTCGATTCCAGAAATGCCTTTCAGTGGGAATGTCACACGGCGGTAAGTTTAAGTTTTTTGGTAGAACTAAGATTTATCTCTTCCTGCCCAAACTGTCTCCCCATTTAACTTTAATGATGATATATTAGTTTCTAGAAAAAAGAAATTTGTCAGTATTGCTCACACAGCAATATGTCCACATTGTGTATGGTTTATGTTGAAAAAAATTGCAGTAAGACATTCCATATTTAGTTGTACTTGGGATTTACACATAAAAATCAATCACAACTGACATTTAGTGACAAAAAATAAAGACATATATCAGTGTATGTATGTATTTATGTGCACAATTTGAATTTTGCACAATTCAAATTAAACGTGTAAAAACTTATTTTTAACATCATAATTTATGGCAGCTAAAAAATATAGTTCCTTCTGTGTCTGAAGCACAACTGTGATTAAAATGCCTTTACCATGGGAAACAGCTAAGTAAGATGGATGCATGAAATGGATTATATGTGCTGTGATTGATTTCACTAGACATAACATCCACCTTACAATTGCCAATTCCATACATCAGACTTGATTGTCTGCTTTTTTACGAACTTGGCGTTATCAGATTTGATATCATGCACAGTCACATATGCATGTAAGCACACTTTGTACAAGGTCCATGGTACAAGTACAGTCTACACAAGGGTATAGGCAATTACAATGTACCTGCATTTGTTACCAAATAGTTACCCTTATATATATATTTAAACATGTTACTGATTCGCTCAGTAGTTTAATGACCTTGTTCCGGATATGATCAAAGTTTATGTTGATATAATTGGCACATTTAGTTTAAGTCGGTCACACGTGACATTGTGCTTCTTATACGATGTATGCGCAGATCTAGATTTCAGCATTTTTCCTAATCAGGAGTGGACATTAGACATAATTAACAAGGGACCCCAGCCCACGCTTGTATATTATAATTAGTAGGCTGGGTAGTAATTGTGCTGTTTTCTTTCTTACCATTTTGTCTGTGCAAATCATGAGTACAAAATGTATTTAATATGGTCATTGGGAATTTTGTCGCAGAAATCGTATTTCATGTTTTGGGCTGCACGACAGGGTTATACAGCCGGAACATCTTTCTATCAGTAAGGCATTTTATGGCAATAACATGTATGCATGTATTACCTTTGCCGCATCCAAACAAGCCTAGGAAATTACTATTCATAATTGTGCCTAAAACGTATCAATGCTGGTAATCATCTTTGATATTTCGTTGTTATAATCTGGCGACCATTTTGGAATTGAAATTGTTCAAAATACATAAAATACTGGGGTTCATAATTAAAAAAAAAAATAGACCTAGCGGTAGTATTTCAAATAGCAAAATTTTCATGCACAAACTGTAATTATGAATACCCAGTTCGCAGTTCAAAAATTTTGTCTAGCAAATATCTTTTTGTTTCTAACCTCAGCCTCCAGATTTGGACGCATGCCACGAGAAGAAAGGCTAAAGATCCTAGAAGAAATCAACCAAGAGGCTGACTGTGCTTCCGAAGAAGAAAAAAAACGAACAGTGTTACGAGAGTTCACTGATAACGTACACCAATCTTTTAGAGCAGTATTTCGCAATGCACACACTAGAAAAGAAGTCAAGGAAAACACACAGGTTGGTATAGTTTACATGAAATGTGACATGTTTATCAGCAGCACTTGCACGTTGTTGTTCTATTGCGCTTGTATTGACCATTTGTAAAAACTGTTGCTTGCAGCAAACAGTTTAAAATGACGACCAACAGCTAGTATGAATTCAATCACTAACTTCCTTAATAGACAACCACTGGCTGAATATAACTGTCTACATGTCTTGTTCTTGTATTAGGTATTTTGGAAAGTGATATGTTTTGGCCTTCTAGTTTCCTAATCTATTCTCCTGCTCCAGCAACACCTGTATATATTCAATATACTGGCATGCAATTAAAATATAAATACGGGCAATATGCACTAGGTAATCATCTTCTGACCTCAGGTACTAGTGCCATATATAAATAGTAAAAAGGTGAATGACATATACACTGAGCATGCTTTTGCATATGCTGATGAGCGCCAATGTTTGGACACATTTGGAACTCCTTTAATCTCAATGAAAAGTAAAGTAACTGAGTCTTGTTCAATCTATTAATAATTCCAGTTAATAATTTGTGCAATTATTGACTCCCATGTGCGAAGCACATAAAGGGAGTCTTTGCAGTTAGTGTGTGTGTGTGTGTGGGTGTGTGTGTGTGTGTATGTGTGTATGTGTGTGTGTGTGTATGTGTGTCCGACTGTTCCACTGCTACCTCAAGAACCATACATCGGTTTTTGATGAAACTTGGTGAATAGATGCTCTGCGCCAATGCGCAAATTTGATTAGTTTTTGGTAAAAATCCGTGCATATTAATTACCTAATTTGCATGATAATTAGCTGATTGTTAGCTGTTCCATGATTGTTCCACTGATATCTAAACAACCACGCATTGGATTTTGATGAAACTTTGTACATACATGCTCTAAACTAATGCTAGGTTTTGATTGATTTGGATACTAATTACCTAATTTGCATAATGATTAGTCAATTTTCGGTTTTTCTACTGATATCTCAAGTACTAATCATCACATTTCAATAAAACTTGGTACATATATGTCATATGACACTGCACAGACCTGATAGTTTTTATGGTAATATCAGTACATATTAATTACCTAATTTGCATAATTAATTAATTTTCAGCATTTGATATAAGTACTAATCATCACATTTCAATGAAACTTGGTACATAGATGTCATATGACACTGCACAGACCTGATAGTTTTTATGGTAATATCATTACATATTAATTACCTAATTTGCATAATTAATTAATTTTAAGCATTTGATATAAGTAGTGAGCATTACATTTCAATGAAACTTGGTACTTACACTGTACATACTCAAGGACTATGCAGAG